CAAGGCCAGCAAGTCCAGCCCTGTGTGGCCCAGAGCCAGTTCTGTGCACCCTCCCTACAGGGCCAACCCTGTGTGGCTGGACCCATTCTGCCGGAACCTAGAGCTAGCTGCTCAGGCTGAGCATGAAGATGACCTGCCAGAGAACCTCAGTGAGATCACAGACCTGTGGAACAGCCCTGCCCGCACCCACGTGAGTCCTTAACCCTCCCTGACCCTCTGTCCCTGCTGCCAGACCCTAGCACCTCTCAGCCTTCCCACCTCTACCAAGGTACAAAACAGGCCCCAATCCCAGAGGAACTCTGGTCCCAGGTCCAACTCTGTGAGGTCCTCCTGACCTTTGGGAATTCAGTGGTCACCTCCCTTGGTCACCTCTGCCCATATTCTTAGCTGGATGCCAGAGGAACTAGAACAATCCAAGTGGGGCAGGTGGGGATGTTTTAGCCAAGCCCAGCCACCTTCAAAGCGATCTTCCTGCTCCTTGCTTCCTTTTTACTCCATCCCATCCTCAGGGCACATTTGGGAGAGAACCATCAGCTGTCAAGCCAGAAGATGACCGCTACCTGCGAGCTGCCATCCAGGAGTACGACAACATCGCCAAGCTGGGCCAGATCATCCGGGAGGGGCCTATTAAGGTGAGGTCCTGGGGGTCTGTTCCATCTCTCCTCTTTAAGGACCTAGCCTCCCTCGGAAATGGGGTGGCCTTTCCAGGGAGAGGAGGCAGCCTCATCCTCTCTTGGTCAGCTCCCAGCCCCAGGGTAAATCTGTGACCCAGGTCACAGATATAAATATTGTATGAATAAAAAAAAAAGGAAAATTGCAAGACCTTAGAATCTTAATTCCCCACCACCCAAGCATAGAACCAAAACTATTCGAAAAACCATTCTGTCCCCTCCCTTTAAGCTTTCACAAGAGGTTTCTCTCCCCCCCCAGCCTCTCTCTCTCTCTCTCTCTCTCTCTCTCTCTCTCTCTCTCTCTCTCTCTCTCACACACACACACACACACACACACACACACACACACACACACACACACCTCTTGACATGCCTTGTTTTATAACTTAAGTGTTAGTAAGTTCTTCCCAACATTGACTAGGCCCTTCCCACGATGACCTAAGTGTAATGGTGAGCCACAAATACCATTTGCTTCTTATCTCTCACCTAATCATCCATTCCATCCCCTAGGCTTGATTAATTTTCTTGAAGATGGGCTCATCAATGACATGAGAAAACAGCCCAGTTGGTCCTTATACTCCACTAGCCCCCGCCACCCCACCCCACCCCCGTGCTGCAGTTCGACTTTGGCCACTGAAGGGGACAAAACCAGGCTTTGCCCAGACAGAGACCAGCACCCCTGCTCTGGATCATGGGCCCATCCTCCTGCCTCCAGGCAGGCCCACCCTTAGGAATCTCAGGCTCTTGCAGTAACAGCCTAGGCTGTAAGCGACTCTCATCTCAGTCCCTGGCCTGAATGGCCTTCTCTGCGATAGAGCTAACCTCGATCTCTCATGCTGGATAGCTCACACCCCCTTTCCCCTTGATGGCTCTTAACCTCTGTGTAGCAGCTGGAAGATGAGAGCAGCCCTCATCCCCCACTGAGGCAGTGCTGAGGGCCTGTGGAGGAGGGAGGGGGTTCAATACTGTTACCTCCCTCAGGGCTCACTGCTGAAGGTGGTCTTGGAGGATTACCTACGGCTCAAAAAACTGTTTGCCCAACGTATGATGCAAAAAGCCTCCTCCTGCCAGTCCTCCATCTCAGAGGTAGCCCGGCGGGCCGAGGGGGCAGGGAAGCTGCGTGTGGTGCCCCAGCCCTGGGGATGCGTGTCTCCTTCGCTCTTCTCCTAGAACAGGGCCTGTTGTCTCTGCCTTTTGACTTGGATTGTTTCAAGAGTGTGGTGTTTGGGGAGCTGGATTTGGTTGCTAACTTGTGTTCTTTGTGCTAAATATGGTAGGGAAAGAATGGGAGGTGGGGGAAGGGAGTGGGGATGGAGAGAGCAGACAGGGTGGTCACGGGAAGGTATTGACCAGACCCTGCAAAGTTTGCTCAAGTGGCCGACTCCCAGAAGTGGCCTTTGGAAGAACTGAGCAATAACCCCATGACTGCTAATCCTTACAGCTAATCCAGACAGAGCTAGAAGACGAGGCGGGTGACCGGAGCCTGGGCCAGGGCAGCCTTCGCTTCCGCCACAAGCAGCCCATTGAGCTCAAGGGGCCAGACGGAATCCACGTGGTGCACGGGAGCACAGGCACCCTCCTGGCCGCCGACCTCAACAGCCTCCCTGAGGACGATCAGAAAGTCCTGGGCCGGTCCCTGGAGACACTGACTGCCGAGGCTGGGGTCTACAACGAGCGCAATGCCCGCACCGAGTCCGCCAAATCCACCCCCATGCACAAGATGCGAGAGGTGATCATGGAGAGCCCACTGGAAATCACAGAGTTATGACTACAAGTGGCATCGCTGGTGTGAGGGCATCGGGGCCCGGCCTGGGAGTGGGCAGGCAGCTCACGAGACTGCGCGGAAGAGGTCACCCCAGAGCAGAGGGGCCAAGGCAGCCTCCTTATCCTAGTCTTGGGGAGAGGGCCCGGGGGAGGAGGGGTCGTGACCTGGTCTCCCTGGAGCAACCTCCCAAGCCCCCAGTATCGACCTCTCCAGACTCTTTACTTTTACCAGACGCTCATCAGCATCTGATCTTTACATTCACAAAATTTGTTATTTTTTTAAGAAAACCAAACGGATCTATTAGCATCTACAGATGACATCAGGGGAGCTTAGCCCTGACTCCTGGGGGCCCAAGAGTTTGACAAATAACTTATCTGAGGACAAGAACAGGACAAGAAGCTTCAGGCTTTTGCTGCCCTCTTCTCCTTAAACCCCACCCCACCGCAGCTCAGGCTGATCCATCCCCCTGTACGGAGAGGAAGCCATTGCTTAGGCAAGGGGTATCCAAGGAGGGAAACAGCCTTTGCCCTGAAAGCTGGTTTGACCTACCTCCCTCCCCATCCTAGCACCTTACTCCTAGTTAAAATCCCGCTGCTTTTAACCCATCCACGAGTCCATGCCCATGATGGCGGCAGAGTCTGTCCCATTGCCCCAGCCCTGGAAGAGGAAGGGAGGCGCAGGGAAGAGGGTCATTTCCTCCATTTTGCTGGCTTACCAAACACATACAGCTAACCAGGCAAACCAACTGAGGTTCCCCAGGTTTTTGAATGTCGCGTGTTTGTTGTGTAATTTTTAAAAATTAATTTATCCCTCTAACTGCCCCCACCTCACCTCAGTTTCATTTCTCAGTTGTCATTGTTGAAAGTTTTTGGAATGGTCTGTTTAAACAAAGGAACTGGAAATACACTCTGGATTTGGTAAATCTCACCTGTGTACTCTTAGGTGGTGGGTAGGAAGGTGGGGGTGGGGGAGAACTTCACCTTGGCCTCTTCATTGACCTTCAGGAGCCTCCAGCTAGATAGGAATATGGAAGACTACAGAAATCACTCTTCTCTGGGCTGGGCTTTCTCTGCTTCCCTATTCCAACTAAGGGGAAGATTTCCACATACCTGTGATGGATGAATTATCACAAACAAAAGTCTCCAGTTTATCATAACTTTTATTGTGAATCATAGAAAGATTTAGGGCAAAAACAAACAAAAAAAATCATCAGTATTTAGTCTATTCCATAGTAGAGCTGAGGGTGCAATTATTACAAGGAGAGAGGAAAAACCAAATCCCAGCCTCCTTTGTGCTCATCTAGGACTGCAACTGACAACCATTTTTCTACTAGGAAGAAAGAAATGCAGAATTTTAGGGGCAGCTAGGTGGCGCAGTGGATAGAGCTCCGGCCTTGGAGTCAGGAGGACCTGAGGTCAAATTTGACCCCAGACACATAGTACTTACTAGCTGTGTGACTCTGGGCAAGTCATTTAAGTCTAGTCACCTAGCCAAAAAAAAAAAAGAAATGCAGAATTATTATGATAATTAAGGTAAGCCCTCTAAGAAGGGGCTACAGCAATGACCTGGGACTATGTGATATGTGCCCAGAGTTCTATGTAAGGCATGCCACAGACACTAGCTAACATTCACCCAGAGCTAGAAGAAAAAGATTCATTGACCTTGAACTAAACAAGCATTGCTGTAGTTATACAAATCAAGCTCTCAGAGAAGGAAGAACTCACCACAATCCCTCCCCCAGGCATTCTCCCCAGGGCAACCCCTCCTGAAACACAACCCCAGTTACTGCTCTGCCCCACTTCCCCAAATCTACTTCAAAGCAAAGATTCAGGAAATGTATCACAAAGAAATAGAAAATAGGAGAAGGCTAGAACTCAAGGGTGGGGGTGTTCAAAAAAAACACATTAAGAGCTGGACTCCCTCAATCCAACTATGGCAACTTCAAAGCCTCACCTCCCCTCACCTTCCCCTCCTCTTCCTAAGCCAATGGCAGCTTCTGCCAGTAAGGAGACTGGGACCCCTTCACGTTGTTTGAAAACCAGTTTAAAAAACCAAGGACTCTGGCTCTGAGGTCTTACACTTGAGGACAAACTATGCCTTTCTTCTGCCCCTAATATAAGGTGACCAATAGGTTAAGGGTGCCAGTAATAGAGCGAGGGGCTCTCACAGCCTCTGCCTAGGACAGTTCTAAACACAACTAAGTGATTATAAGTTTGAAGCCCCTGATCTGGCCATCACTGGTGTTGGGCCCATGCTTCTGTCATCCCTATCCACAGGCTCCCACCTTCCACCCAACCCACGTCTCCACCATCCCACCCAGACTCTAGTCCATGATGCAGTCATGACACATTGTTCATCTAGCAGAGGTGGAAAGAGCATGGCGACATGGCCAAATAGAGCACTTCTCAGACCCATGGAAACAATGGACAAATGGAACAAAAGAGAGATGGGATGGAGGAAGAAGAGGACATGGGCTCATCTGAAAAACAGGAAAAAAAAATCAGATCTGTATATTCCCTTCCCCGAGACACACAAATAGGAAAGAAGTTGCAATTTCTCCAAGACACAAGAGCGCTCCTCTAATCCCGTTCATGTTTTTTGCAGTGCTCAATAGCCTAGTAGGGAGACAGAGAGAAAAAAAAAATTAGGCCTTTCCAAAGCCAATCACCCCAAACTATTTCCCTTTCCAAACCTAGACCTAAGACAACACCAGGAGCTGTACCCAGTCCGGGCACTCATCTTGAGGGTGTGGTGGGGATAATAATACCAATATTAAGTGCTTAATAAATGCATGTTACCTGATTGGCTGATAAAGCAGAAGATTTCAGAGTGGGTCTTCTTAGTTGAACCCTAAGAGTGGTGCCCCCAGGGTTTGAGATTGATGAGGTAAAAAGAGGTCTAAGCAGTTGATGCAGGGAGCAGGGCAAGATGCCACGCATGTGATAATAAATGCTTGCTGACTTCACTGCCAATGGAAACAGGCTTTCCAGCCTCTGTTTCCTCTCTGAGAGAGGCAGGCAGGGCCCACAAGTGCCCTGGAAACATTTTTCCCAGGTAACCTATGCGGTCTCCCTGGCATGCGGACATAAACCCCAGGGAAAGCATAGCCACACAGAGATAGAAACCAAGTTTCACCTACTTAAAGCGATTGGCTAAGCAATGAAGACAGCTGACATTTGTCTAATTCTTGGGTCATGGACCCCTTTGACCATCTGGTAAAGCCTTCTATGAGACCTTTCTCAGAATAACGTTTTTAATGTAGAAAATGCAAAACATTACAAAGGAAATGAATTGGATTGAAATGTAGCCATCAAAATATACTTTTTTTTAAAAAGTTTAGCAGCCCCAGGTTAAGAAGCCTGGCCTTATGCTTTCTTATTTACAAAGAGCTTTATACACCCACCTTCCACATGATGCTTATGACACCCCTAGGAGGCACTTAGTAAAAGTATGGACATTATCCCCATCTACAAGGCAGCATCCATTCCTTGAAGGTGCAAAGTGACTTGCCCCAAAACACACAGAGAGTAAGTAGAACAGCCACAACATGAACCCAAGTCATCTGACCTGAAATCCCGGGCTATTTCTGCTATGTCACTGTGAGCTGATTGTCACTAAACCCTAAACAAAACATAAGACTGAGCAGAGAGGAGAATTCATCCATTTTTCTGACATCCTCTGGGCCAAAAGACCCAAGGCTGATGACCTAGAAAGCCTTCCCTCTCCCCAGGCTGCAGTGGCCAAGCCCGGGAAGAGAACCAAGCAGGAGACTTAACGGATCATGACGGAGCGCTAGGCAAGAAGAGGGGTTCCAACCTCCTCATCAGCGGGACCTAGTCCTGGAGAAGGGAGGGGGGTCTTGTCTCTGCTGTCCTTACTTAGCCCCAGAAGCAAAGCCAGTAAAGAAGCAGCAGCTGTGCCATAAAACACGGGACTGGGGATTTCTTGGGCTTGTCTACGTTTCCTAAAGACATTGCCAGATTTCCCTTGGACCACAGTTTTGACCAACGCCTCTATATCTATGGATGCAGGTATGAATTGAGCCTCAGCTCAGCGTTTCCATGGGCCCAATCTCAAACTCAAGGTCATTTCCCCAAGAGCCAAGGAGAACTCTCACATTCCCCTTCTGCCCTGAGTTGTCAAACAAAAAAAAAAAACCTTCCCTCTAAACATTACAGATAACCACAGCCAGTTCTTGGCTTAGCCTCATAAAGCCCTACTGGCATGTAAGGAAAGAAGCCCTAAGTCTAGACAGACGCTACTAAAGGATAAGATTTGGACAGCCTCAGACTCAAGGTTCAACCAGTGCTTTCTAGGCAAAGACACCAACCTCAGAAAATATGACTCACTCGTTAAAGTCTGCGGGGCCACCAGCCTACCCACTATATGAGATTTGATAATCAAGGCTGGGGCTGGTCATGATAGAAGCTAAAACATGACCAAAACAGAACCCATGCTGGAGGAAAAATACTTCTGCATGCTTCTAAGACACAAGAAGCTCATGCCGCACCAAACATCTGCTGCCTGACGTTGAGCCCCCAAAATAAGAGGCGTATCGCACACGGAGAGTGCTTACCTTGGAATCAAGAGGCTTGGTTTTGATTCCCTCTCTACTTGAAATAACTTTCCTGGGTGTAGCCTACCTATCACTCAACCCACATCCCTACCAGTTTCATGACCTGCTTTCCTCACAACACCCCAGTGAGGAAAGTAGGGCAAAGGTAAGACCAAAGGACCTAAGGTCTCTTCTAGCTGAAGTCTAAATGAACAGCACCTTCAACCCAAAAAAATCTAGTAACAAATGAAGAGACTCATTATCCAGAGATGCCCTGGGGTTTGGGATAAAGTGGTGGACAGTGGGAGGTACTTACGTTGCACTGAGCAGCTGTCTCCATGTTCTTATACCAGTAGCTTGGGCCCCTGACACATTGCTCCGCTCCCAATAGAGGCTTAGCAGGAGCTTTGGGGCAAGCTCCAACTTTCTACTTGGGGAGAAAAGGAAGTGAAAAAGTAGAATGAGATGCACCCAGGTGCTCTTCTCCCTCTATACCTTCCTCCTACTTGTGAGTAAGTGACTGAGTTCTAGGGAAAGTGAAGTGGTCCTTAGACCAAATTGCCAGGCTCTCTTGGGTTCCATGAGGTGGGAAGGAATGCTGGCATGGCCAGACCCCAGAGATGGGCTGGTTGGAGGAAAGGGTGTTCTCCCACAGACCACAGGGATGATCCCGCCTCCCCAAGAAGGGTCTTAGGGCCTAGAATATTGTCAGCTCTCAGGAGGTGCCCATGGGCTCCAAGAACAGACCCACACTGCCATGCTCACCAGACACAGAGAATCAGGACTCATCTCATCATGCAGGGCTGCGATCAGGACGGGCTCATACTCTTTCACAAACTCATCGCACTGTTCAGCAGAACAAAAGACAACACTCAGACAGCCCAAGGGGGCTGGGGCCACACAGGAGTCTCAAGGAGCCAGCAAACTCCAACCACAGAGCAGCCCACTTTCCCAACATGCCCTGGCCACTTCTGAGCCATCCCCTCCACCTCAGACCTCCCCAAGCCCATTGTCTCCTTCCCAGGAGAGTCACAGGATCTCCCTGCTCAATTCAGAGGCCTGTCTTGGGCCTGTCAGCTAGCCCAGCTTTAGGAATGAGTCCTCAAAGACCACTGGCTTCAGGATGAAAAGTAAAACCCTCTATTTAATGAGGACGGGAGGAAGATCATCAGTGCCAGCACTTTGGGGCCCCATAGATAGTCCAGACCTTTCTAACTCCAGGAGTCTTAATGCCCAGCATTACCTCATCCTTGTAAACTCCTGGCAACATGCTACAAGCCTTCTCAAAGGCAGAAAGAATCAGGGCCTTGGTGCTGTTCTTATCCAGGTTCCGGTCCAAATACCCATCAATCTTTTTGCACACCTCACAGAAGACACCGCTCTTGAGCCTGGCTACGTTAACTGCAGAACAGAGGGGACGGGAAAGGGGACATGATGTGTGTGATAACCAGTCACATACAGTCATAAGCCCTGAGCTAGAGGTCCACTGGGGTTTTTTTCCTTCCTTACCTGCATGTGCTGATCTTTTGCCTTGGCAAACATTAAGAGTACTACACATGAAGTCAGGGTCAATCTCCTCCAGGAGTAGATGCATAATACTCAGGCCAAAGGTGTCGACCAAGTCTCGGCAGCTCCCAGCTACATAGCCAGGGATTACTGAGCACACTTCCTCTGCTGCGTTAATCACATCCTCCTATACCCCAGGAGACAGTGCATAAGATTGACTAAGGTTCTGATGCTGTGGTTTATAAAGGGTTGGGGTTTGTTGGGGGGATGGGAGAGGGGAGAAGGACAGGGAGGAGGGGAAGGAGGATCCCAGTCCCATCTCTATAGAGCCCTAAAGTTAAGCCAGCTGATTGAATTTTAAGCATTTGCTGAAGTTCTGCCCTGCTGTAGAAAATTTGTCTTCCTCCTCTGTGGCTGTGATTTTATGGCCTAAGAGGACCTGTCCTAGGTGCCTGGGGAACTAGGAATTGGCTTATTCATGAGAACAAACCCACCTTGCCCATCTCACTCTCATACTGAAGCAACCCAGCTTGAAGGGGATAGAGAATGGGCCCAGACCTACAGTGCCCAGCCCCTTGGAGGGACTCAAGAGATGTTGGTAGATCCTGGGGAAGGAGATGACCACTGAGCAGACACACCTTCGTCTTGTTGCCCTCCAGCAATTTGATGATCTCTTTGATAACATACTGGCACAGCTCACAAGTGGGACCAGCCTTCATCTGAACCAAGTTCTTCTGTTAAGAGAACACATGGGGACCTCCAGGTCAGTGGGATGGTATGAACCTTTCTCCAGACAGCCCCAATTCTCCAGCACCTAGTACACACTGCTCTAGAGTCAGGGCTATGCCTGGAGTACCTGCCACAGGCATGGGGAAACAGACACACAGGGGGCTGGGGACTCAGGTAAATGCTGAACTCTGACTCTAGATTGGGGTCTCCTGACTCTGAATTCACAGGGAAGCTGTGGGGTTCAGAGGGAGGAGAGCCCTAGCGTGGAGCCAGAAGGCCTGGGTGCTGCTGCCAATACGCACACCTGATTAACCATATGGCCCAACCTTCATGGACCTCAGGGTTCTCATCTGTAGGATGGAGACAAACACTCTACTCACTGCTTCTCTCCATCAGGCAACATGGAGCCCAAGATGGCAGCTTAAATTTAGACAATAACTTTTCTTTTTCTTTTATGGGCAGGTGGTTAGGTGGCATGCCTGGGGCTGGGGACATGGGAAGCAGGAAGGGAGGGAGTGTTCTGGAGATGTAGCCAACCTTGATAAACTGCCTAATTCTAGAAAAGTCAGTACACTGGGGAGAATGGAGAAGAAGAAAGTAGACTTAATAAACCAACCAGAACTTGATAGCACTTCTGTATGGAGGCAGTGCAAAGAGCACTGACTCATGAGTCAGAGGACCTGGGTTCAAATCCCACCTCTGCTGCTTACTACTTGTGTGACCTTAGGCAAGACACTTAACCTCACTGGGCCTCAGTTTCCTCATCTGTAAGGACCAGACGGCCTCTGAGATGCCTCCCAGCTCTACATCCATGATTCCACAACTTCCTAGAGTGTAATTCAGGGAATGTTCACCATCTCATTCAGCTCGAGTGAGCCAGTCCACACTTGGATGATAAGGCTTTAAGCAAAGTAAGCCCGAAGCTAAAAAAAGGCACTGAGCCCATGAAGCCCAAGCCTTAGGGAAGGCAAGTACCCAGCCGAGGGGGCCGGTTCTATTCTCTGACTGCACCACTTCATAAATGTGCAAATTAATTGTCAAAATGGGTAGATGCCAGGCTTATAAGTGTGTGAAGCAGAGCTCAGTATGTTGGTGTGTGTTTGGGAATGAAGCTACCAAAAGTTTAATATGAAGGTAAAAATGCCAGCACTAAACTTTACTCAAAGGAAACATCATCTTCTAGTCCCCTGGGTCCACAACCTCAGTTGTCAGTCAGTTGTGCCCGACTCTTCATGACCCTATTTGGGGTTTTCTTGGCAAAAGTACTGGAGAAGTGTGCCCTTTCCTTCTCCAGCTCATTTTACAGATGAAGAAACTGAGGCAAACAGGGTTAAATGACTTGCCCAAAATCACCTAGCTAGTAAATGTCTGAGTCCAGATCTGAACTCAGGAAGCTGAGTCTTCCTGACTCCCGGCCCAGCACTCTATCTATCCACTTTGCCACCTCGCTACCTGTGAATGCACAGCATACTTATTTCTTAAGAGCCTGGTTACCAGGTTTTTTTTGTTTAAGGTTTACTTTGTCTTAATAATCCAGTAAATAATCAAAACCTCTTCATCAACAAATTGATCAACAAGGTATGCTATTGTTTCAATGCAATATTAAGTGGGGAAATAAGAAATAGCAAGGTTAGAGAGAAATTTTAAATTGTTATATTTGCCAGAGTGAGATTTCTGGGTGGGGGGCTCAAAGTTAGAGTTATTAATTTATTTATTTCTACAACATCCTAGAGTAGAGAGACTACATTCACCAGGGCTTCTCTGGATAAATGAGTCAGAGGGGTGGGCTGGCCCCGCCCCAAGGTCTGCATCTACCATTACCAAGGCCTGGTTTGAAAGGAAAAAAAGCAGGAGTGACTAGAAAGTCGTGCTCTAAGTGGAAGAACAGATAAGCTCACGAACAACAGGGAAGGGGGTGGAGTAAGAGCAGCTGACAGACAGATACCCAGCAGCCACCACCTCTGCTGTCCTTTGCACACCTGCCTCACAATGGGTTTATAATCTAGTAGGAGAGTTCAGATACTGTATAGGTGACTCATACAAGGTAGGTGTGGGGAGGGGGGGCATTCAGGAGGACCAGCACCTCTGGTGTGAGGGTTTTTGGAGCCCTTTTCAGTGCTTCTCATTCACCTTTGGTATCCATCTGATTAAACCAACTTTCACTGTGGCTCCAAGAAGCTGTAGCATGAACAGTGACCACACCCCAGTAAAACTGTCTTGGCAGACAGGTTAAACCAGGTTGAGGGTAATCGACAGGCCTCAGACCAATCAGTGAGTTAGAGTACACCTACACCAAGTACGTGAAGACTCTCCCTGGTGGAATGGGAAGAGGAGGACCATCTGTTCCAAAGGCCATGAAGGTAGCTGAAGCAGGCTTGGTCAGGCATCAGATACCAAGGTCACCCACTGTATCCTGCATCATGGCCATATTCTGTCACTGTATTTTGATGACCCAGGAAAAGAGAGGGAGGCCAATGACTTTGTGTAAGTCTGCCTCACTTAAATTGAATTAACAAGCAAGTCATCACCCATGATGTCATTGATCTTCTTCAAAAAAGGATGAACAACAGAAACTTGTTTTATGTGGGTCTTCTAATCTACATCTGCTCATAAATACATCTGTAAAATAAGGCTTAGCCTAGATGATGTCAAAGGTCCTATTCAACTCTAAATTCCCTGATACCACCTAGCTATATAAACCTACAAATGAGCTATAGACAGGTTAAATGGGAAATGATCAATATCATCCCCACTGTGGTTGTGAGGCTGCTGTGAGGTGAGAGAAAAAGAGGGGTAGTTCTTAAGAGGCACCCCAAATTCTCAGTTTTAGGGTCTAAGTGGCCTTCCAATATGGACAAGTTTCCATGGGGCTATGCTGAACAAGATAGATGTTGTCTCTGTGAACACTGTTAGATTTACAGACAACCTAATGACACACTTCCAATTTTACTCTCATGTTAGGAATTTGAGTCCTGTAGGAGGAGTGGGAGACAGAAGCATCACTGAATGTCTACCCCACCTCCCCTCCCCTCCCCCCACCTGAGCATTTATGTTCACCACATCTCAAGACTTGATGACAAATCCCTCACTTTGCTGGTAGGTTTCACCAACTTCTCCATTTGGAAATGTCCTGGAAATAATAAGAGCTTTCCAGCCTGCTTTGAAGCCAGCAGAGCTCTGGGAGCCCGGGTACCCAAGGATCCAAGCTGGCTGATGAGAATTAAGATGTGCCAGTATCTAGGAAGCCTCTGTATAGGTTAAGTATACAATGATGCTCATTCCTTTCCAACCCACTGGATTTTTTATCTGGGAATCATGATTTGCTTGGCATATTTGATAGGATTGAAGGTCTCCACAGAAAGTCACTTAGGGCCCTCCAGTGGTAGGTGATATAATAATATTCACAACAATAATAGCTAACATTTATATAGTACTTGCTACAGGACAGCTAGGTGGTACACTGGGTAAAACATTGGGCCTGGAGTCAAGAAGACTCATTTTCCTAAGTTCAAATCTGGCCTCAGACATGTACTAGCTGTATGACCTGGGCAAGTCACTTAACCCTGTTTGTCTTATCTGTAAAATGAGCTTAAGAAGGAAATGGCAGACTACTCCAATACAACTCAACAAACAGCTAGCTAGAGAAATAGAAAGATAGATAGACAGATAGATAGAGAGAAATCTTGTACATACACAGTTCTTACATATTGTCTCCCAAACTAGAAAGGCAAAACACAACCAGTTTCTGCTCTTAAAGAGTCTGTCATCAAATGGATTCAATACAACAGTCCCCATGGACATCAATTTCCAATATAATGGAATATAATTCCATTAGGATTCCTTGAAATTTTATTTGTCCATTAAATGAAAATATATTTCAAATGGATCACTCATAGTTTCATTGTATTAATCCACAAAGACAATAATCTACCCATCACTGTATGAAACTGATCCAAACATGCAGTCTTCTACCACAATGATGCTATAAATCAATATTCTATGGCAAATTGACCCCTAGCAAGTGATAGTAGAGTAAATATGTAAATTAGCAGTTTGGACAGTAAGAGGATTATATTTGCAGGAAACTCCAGGGGCAACTAGGTAGCACAGTGGATACAGCACCAGCCCTGAAGTCAGGAGGACCTGGGTTCAAATCCAGCCTCAGACCAAACACTTGACACTTACTAGCTGTGTGACCCTGGGCAAGTCACTTAACCCCAATTGCCTAACAAAAAAAAAAAAAACAAAAACAAAAAAAGGAAACTCCAGAACAGTGGTGCACTAAACACCATTAAATAATAGTCTTTCACATGCAAATCTAGTTGAGCTAAGGACAAAGGAAACAAGCATACCAAGGGAGGCTTATCGCCAATGGTAACCAAATTAAAAAACAAGCAAAAGAAAACCAAAAGCAGGAATAGGATTCAAACAAAATTCAAACGGAAAAAGTCTGTGAGAGAGACAGAAAGAAATACCATAAGAAAAAAACAAAAGCATACCCTGAAAGGAATAAAGCTTTACCCCCTAAGTCCCAGAAGTCAACAAACTTTCCCAATAATGGCAAAAACCAGTGGGCTACAGTCAGCTCTGAACTTGAACTATCAAGTGAAAAATAAAAGAAAAAGTGTAAAAATGAATTTTTTAAAAATCAAAATGAAAATTTTCTTAATACAGGTATCTTTAATGCTTGTAGCAGCATTGTTGGAAAATTCAGATTAAAAGTAGCAGGAAGAAAGAATTAAAGTAATATTTAAACTCTCAAACAGAGAAAAAAATTAAGTTTGAAAATAAAGATCCTGGGTCAGCTAGGTGACACAGTGCATAGAGCTCTCGCCTTGGAGTCAGGAAGACCTAAGTTCAAATCTGGTCTCAGGCACTTGACACTTACTAGCTGTGTGATCTTGGGCAAGTCACCTAACCCCAACTGCCTCACCAAAATAAATAAATAAATGAAAATCCTAAATAAGTTCCCCCTTTTAACAGTGTTGGGAGGTTGGAGTTGTCTGGTTTAGAAGGATTCCCCCCACCACCATTCTCTTTCCCAGATCTCTACTTTAGTTGTCACCTAGGCAAGATTCTCCCTTAGTCAATGCCTTCACTGTGACACTCAGGAAGCAAATGGGGACCTTTGAACTGCCTCTGGACAGTGAACAAGAGAAAGGATATTTGCCTAAGGCCAGTCTGAGGAAAGTGATTCCAGCTTTCTACTTCCCAAGCTTTCTTCCCCCAATGCCACTGCTTGACTTATTCTGATAGTCCAAATGCACAAAGCTTACTCCTTTCCCTGCTTTGAGAGAGTTAGTACTATTTATTTGTAAAATCTCTTTGGTCTGTTTCAAGCCCCAAACTGGAAAACACCCTAGTGACTTAGAAAAAGAGCTTCCTTCATGCTCACATTCTCTCTCTCTCTCTCTCTCTCTCTCTCTCTCTCTCTCTCTCTCTCTCTCTCTCTCTGTCTCTTTCTCTCTCTGTCTCTCTATCTCCATCTCTATCTCTGTCTCTCTCTGTGTCTCTGTCTCTCGGTCTCTCTGTCACTTTCTGCCTCTCTCTCTTGATCACTGCCTCGACTGCCCTTGAGAAAATGAAATACCTACAAATCAAAAATGTCTCAGGTTAACTCTAATTTTACGCCAAAGCTTGAACAGAAATGTAAATGATTACACTTTAAAAATATAGAGATAAGCTTTGGAACAAATACTTTCCCTGGCTGAGGAGAAACAGCACTATCACCATTCCAGGAAAATAAAGACAGCTACAATTGGCTTGCTATGGCTTCCGCGTAGTTCAGCCCCTTAATAGTTACAGTAGCAACAACAGCAGTGGCGATGCCGATCTCTCATAGGAAGACACTCTTCCTATTTCCTACTCAGTCGTGTGGCGGAGGAACTCTAGACCACTCAAACTCCAGTCTCTGTTTGTTGAAGCCACTTGGGTAGACAGGCAGTTGAAAATTGGTATATCCAGTAGCCAGGTGACCTGGCCTCCTTTCTGCTGTCTCCTACCTATGCAATGGGCTGCTAGATGGCACAGTGGCTACAGTGCTGGGTCTCAAGTTGGAAGACATCTTCCTGAGTTCAAATCTGGCTGCAGACACTTACTAGCTGTGTGACCCTGGGCAAGTCACTCAACTCTGTTTATCTTGGTTTCTTCATCTGTAAAATGAGCTGGAGAGAGAAATGACAAACCACTCCAGTATCTTTGCCAAGAAAACCCCAAATGGAGTGACAGAGAGTCAGACACGACTGAACAACATTTATGCAATAGGGCTGGCTGTATGTTTTGCCCTCCCCTTCACAATCAGCTCACCTCAGGCCTTATAAGGATCAAGGGGGAAAAAATCTATGGGAATTTCTGTCCTAACCAACAGGCAACCATTCCAGCCTACATATCTACTTGACATCTGAAAAGGTACTACATTTAAGTGAATGATGTAAGTAATTAGATTACTCCAGAAAGATTTAGGAAAGTTCAGAAATAATGATTGAGTAAACACACTCACCGCTGTTGCCTCATTCCAGAGAGTCTGTTGGCAATGTTCAGTGGCCCCACACTCAGATGCCGTCTTGGAATTCTGACACCAGACCTCAGAACCCTTTGCACAGCCTTCCTTCGTGAGCACAGAGCTAGTATGGGCTGAAAATTAAATATAAACCCATCAAAAAATTACACCCTATCCAGCACACAAGATCCTGTTTTATCAGAAACATTAAAAACTGCTCAGAGCATTTCCTCGCTATAAGAAGCTCAGGATCAATACCTACTTGCCTAATATACTATCAAAGGATATAATAAGCTTTATGTGTGAAATAAGGAGTTGTGTTTTCTTATAAGTACAGCCTAAGAGAGATCTACACTTGTTCTAATGTACCTGCTCTCCAAACCCTATAGTATCCAGACCATCCACAGGCACAATGTGCTAACCATTGGTTCTTAAAGTGTCTTATCATTAGAAGGAATTCCATGAAAAGCTAACTTTATGAATTATTCTTCTAATATCTTGGAAGAGTGGGAATAATATCTTAGGGAGTGGGTAACAAGGAGAAGAAATGCAATACAAATAAGACATATTTCAGTGAAAAACAGGCCCATCAGTTCTCTCTCAGGAAGTGGAGGGCATTTTGCAGCATAAGTCCTTTGGAATTGTCTTGGATCACTGTATTGATCAGAGTAGCCAAGTCTTTCCCATTGGACAACATTGCTGTTATTGTATACAGTGGTCTCCTGGTTCTGCTCACTTTACTTGGCATCAGTTCATATAAGTCTTGCACATGGGGGAAATTCTTACCAAAAAGTATTTAGAGAGAGAAAATTTCCCCTAAGGATTACTTTGGTTGAATGTTTGTAAGAATGCCTCTGTCTAGAGGCAGCTAAGTGGCACAGTGGATACAGCTCTGGCCTTGGAGTCAGGAGGACCAGAGTTCAAATCTGACTTCAGACCTTTGACACTTACTAACTGTGTGACCCTGGGTAAGTCACTTAACCCTACCTGCATCACCAAAAAGATAAAAAGAGAAAGAATACCTCTGTTAACTCAAATGTTTCAGGGAGCCACCTCTAAGATTGCTACTTAGTGAATGAATGAAAAAGCATTTATTTAGCACTTACTATGTGCAAAGTTAGTATGCTGAGGTCCAGAGATACAAATAGAAAATTGAGACAATCTCTGTTTTGAAGGACTTTATATTCTAATAGGGAGAGGGTTTAGCTGTAGGGAAGATGAAAAGATCCACTGGTCCAGACTACACATAATTCAGTTTGGCTAGAGTGTGCATGGAGAGACAAGGCTGGCACACAAACACATCTTCTTTGGTGTCATTCGACTGATAAAACCTTACGTATTTTTAATGTGCTAAGAACTTTGGTGCCCAGAAGATTCCATTCTGGGTTCTTCAGTAGCTGTGACTTCTGAGAAGTTGGGGAGCTGTAGTTCCCCCCCACTGGGGTTGCCCACCTGGGTGATATCAGACAGAGTGGGATATCGAGGCAAGGCCAGTAGCCTCTGTGAGGCACTGCAACTCGTGAGGCTCTTGGGAAGCTGTGTCCACCAAGGCTGGAGTGTGGATGTTGGCTATTGTGGTAGCAGTCTCACCTGCCTCACTAATGCTGCCTCCAATGTCTCCCTCTGAGGATACCTCAGCTTGGCAGGACTTTTCCCTTGTCCTCTTTTTTTCAGGTGACATAATGCAGCCCCAGAGACCAAAAGTGGTTTCCCAAGGAACATAAAGACATGGGGCTGGGGCAGGAGAGCAAAATGTATAGGATGCCCGAGGACCTGTGCCCTGAGTCTCACTTCTGCTCAGTAATGAAGAGAATTTATGCAGAGCTTGGACCTAAATAGTCATAGTACAGAAAGAGCTGGAAGGGGCCTCAGAGATGACTTCATCTACCCTGTCTCATGTTACAGGTGAGGCCCAGGCAGATTAAGTCATTTAGAGAGAGACAGAGCAAGTGAATAGCAGAACCCCAGTCCCTTCATCCCCAGTACAGTTCTTCTCTCACTGCATCAAGCTGCCTGCCTTGGCATAGAAGAATACGGATAAGGCTTGGGTGTCAGGGAGCTGGGGCCGCTTCAGAGCTAAGATAAGGATGACTCAGGCCAGGTGGCCCGGGACTTATCAGTTCCTTCCATGGAGCCCAGATATCCCACTGAATCTAGGTTTGTATTCTACCAGAGGGCAACTGGGTATACTTATCTGATGGCCTGTCTGGCAGTACTGGGAGGGACTTGACTTGCTCATAGTTTTACAAGGTTCAGCAGCCTACGTCCCTGAACACCCTGCCTACTAAGATAGGCATTTTGCTCAACCTTACATGAGGCAACCTAAAGTCAAAAATTGGAAATCCAACAATCAATTAAGTGCCTCCTCAGTGCCAGGCACTGTGTAAAGTACTGGGCATACAAAGTCAAAAGTCAGATAGTTCCTGCCCTCAGGAAACTTGTGTAACCCTTGTGTTAGTGGATGTTGAATGGAGGTCAGCTGCTTGGCCAATATTTCTCTTCAGAGACACACCCTGCAGTAACACACCCCAGTTAGAACAATCTGCTTCTTTTTTTAGCTAGGAGCAATGTAATGCCCCTCTTGGGTCCATATGGTCCCCTTCTCTACCATTTTAAGGAGCTTGCATTAAGTATAAAATTAAGCATACCATCTAAAGAGCTCAGAGCTCTCTGTCAAGAAGCTAGCTAGCTCTCAGTCCTAATTTAAACTGATATTCATCTCTAGCTGGACATATTTGGATAAAAAAGAAAGCAGAATATTTTACAATGTTTGTTAATGGACAGGCCCTGGGAGAGAAAGAAAAAAAATGAGCAGACCTTTTCTTAGAACTCCCCTCAGTCTTTAAAGAGGCAGCTTCATTTAGGTGGATTTCATGCTCTAAAGGTTCCTTTCCTGGTTTATGGTCCCCCTTGACCTCTCCCTTCTCTGCCACAGACACCTCAGTCCTTCTTTCTTGCTCAACATGTTAAGTCGTGGATAGGGCTGGGAAGCTTGACTCCATTACTGCTACTGCTTTTGAGGATTCCCATCTTCTCAGTCTGTCTCTCAAAGACTGCGTGTATCTTTTTAAGAACTCCAGGGGGTGCTTCCTAGACCAAGGTTGTTCACCAGGCTGAGAGTATTGCCCATCCCCCTGAACTACAAATACCAGGGTGCCAATCAGCTCTCACACCCTTATTACATTTACATTCTAATGGTGTCTAAGCAGAAGGAGCTTAGAAAATACTGTGAAAGCACATAGCACCAAACCCTCAGAGGTTTCCTAAAAATTAAGAGTTGTATGAACAGTGCCTTGATCTGAAGTCCTTCATCTCATTGGAATCAAATGCCTCATCACTTTCACAGAGAATCTTACTTCTCTCCCATTCTAAGATCATTAGAGTCTGTCTTGCTCACGGTGACCAGACTAAGAGTTGGAATTATCTTTGTTTAATCCAATAAAAAGAAGTATCCCTTCATTTACTTCTGTCCAGATAGAAAGGGACATCTTTAGAGGGCATTTCAAGAAGCTGTTTTTCCCCCAAGGTGGGCCACTATTAGCATGAATATTGTTCTGCTTGGTAAATCAAAACCCCCTAAACTATATATCTTGGTTTTAGAGGCAGCTAGGTGGTACAATGGGTAATATGTTCCACCTGCAGTCAGGAAGACCCGAGTTCAAATTCAGACTCTCTCTTGATCTGAACCTCTAGTCAAGCAGAAACGCTTCTGTTTTAATAAATCATCTCTGATAGATTTTGGTTGAAGTGCAGTTGTCTATTGATTTCTTCCATGATGCAAAGCAGCAGATAATTAGATAATGCAAAAAAAAAAATCATTGCTTTGCCTTTAGAACATTCATACCAGGTACAATTATACAGCAGACAGCACATGCTTATCAGTTAGCTTTCCACCTCATGCCCCACCTCTTCCTTCTCTCCTTGTGCCATCTCAAGTCCATACCCACTTTCATAATATGACCCACATAACTTCCTTTGCACGAAACCAACCACACAGCTAATAGGTGGTTACTAGGAATGATCCTCAAATACAGGTAATCGAGAGCAAGCTCCAGGAAGGACCAGAGGGACTGCACTCACAGGAGGTGGCGGCTGTGGGAACCAAGGAATCCTTCACTGCTCTTTCCTGGGAGTCCCACCAGCTCCATTCCCCCCCCCACCCTGAGAAGGGTGGAACAAGAAGAGGAGGGAAGAGTATAGCATTGATTTAGGGCTGAGAATGACTTTACAGATCATCCGGCCCAACCTCCTCATTTTACAGATAAGGAAACTGAGGCAGAAAGCAATTAAGAGATTTGCACAAAGTCAGACACATAGTAAATGTCAGAGGCAGGATTTGAACTCGGTGACTCTAAATCTAGTGCTCTTTCCACCCCTCTTTAAGCACTTACCATCCTCCTTCCCTACTCATCCCACCCTTCACATCTTCCAGGGGACCACTTCCTCTTTCAGAGAAAGGAGAAAACACTGAAATGCAGGTTTATGGAACAAGAGGGAAGGGGAAAGAGAGATAGGAGCAGAGTATAGGGGAAGTGGATGAAGGGATTAAGTAGGACAAGGGAACAGAATCATTTGAGATTTAAGCTTATTGCAAAATAACACTGAGAAGGAAAGCATGAGGCATGCCTTTAATACTACCTTGACCAAGTTGGATTTTCCATATATAGCTCTACCTAAAGGCCAAGCAAACTAATGAGCTTGGCCTTGAGTGGCAGAAAATACTCCCATTGTTCATTTGTTTCACCCTTTGATAATTTCAGATTTGGGGCCAGAGGCTGAGAGATAAGATGCAAGAAGTAAAATGCACATAAACAAAGGCTTGCACACACATAGTATATCACGCGTCATCAAATCACAGATCTTGACCTGAAAGAGTCACAGAATTCAGTTTAGTTCTACTGGCTTAGAGCTGTCATGGCCGAATCCTTGTGACTAGCCTCATTTGGGGTTTTCACGGCAAAGATACTGGAGCGGTTTGCCATGTCCTTCTCCAGCTCTTTTTACAGATCAGGAAATTGAAACCAAAATAACTGAAACCAAAAAAGGGGTTAAGTGGCTTGCCCCAAGTCATACAGTGTCTGAGGCCAGATTTGAATTCAGGAAGATAAAGTCTTCCTGACTCTGCACTCTATTCGCTGCACCACCTAGCTGCCTAAGGCAGTTGGCAGAAATTAGACTTAGACAAATATATTATACCATATTCCATAGTAATGCAACAAATTCAAAACAGATACATGACCTTGATATTAAAGATCATACCATTAAAAAATTAGATGAAAAGCAGTTCACAGCTATGGGTAAGGGGTAAGTTCTTAACCCAACATGGGACAGAGGCAATTACAAAAGATGAAAAAGAAAATAGATGAGTTTTATTACTTGCAGTTGAAAGGTCCTTGGATAAAGAAAACTCATGCATCTAGGAAAAGTAGGGAAGTGTTCTGGGGGGGGGGGAAATCGGTGTCAAATATTTCTGATAAGGGTGTGATATCCAAGATATTTATAGAACCAGGAAGGAACCAGTAGATAAATGGTCAAAGGATATGAACAAACCTCAAAAGAAGAATTGAAAACTATTACCAGTCATATGAAAGAATGCTCCAAATCATTATAAAAAAAAAAAGAAATGCAAATCAAAAGGCCTTAAGGTTTTACTTCTCATCAAAGCAAATAGGCAAAAGTGATAAAATATAGGAATATTCAATATTAGAGGGGTTGTGGAAAGATAAGCTTTTTAGTGTATTATTGTGGATGGAGCTGTGAATCAATACCATTCTGGAAATCAATTTGCAACTATGGAAAGGCAGTGGCTAAAATTTCCATACCTTTGACCTAGAGGTTCTACTAGTAGGCATATATTCCAGGGAAATTATTAACATTAAGAAAGGCTAGGGTAGGTAGGTGGCACAGTGGATAGAGCTCCAGCCCTGGAGTCAAGAGGACTTGAGTTCAAATCTGGCCTCAGACACTTGACACTTAATAGCAGTGTGACCCTGGGCAAATCACTTAAACTGATTCACACACACACACACACACACACATACACACACACAGAGAGTAAGGAAGGCTCCACCAAAATTTTGTTAGCAGCACTCTTGGCTTCCAAAGAATTAGAAACAAAGTAGATGCCCATAAATTGGTGAATGGCTAAACAAATTATGGTGCATGACTGTAATGAATACTATTGTGTTATAAGAAACAATGAACATGGTGAATACAGAGAAGCATAGAAAAACATGGATGAATTAATTCAAAGTGAAGTAAGCAGTTAGGAAAAGAGTATGTGGAATGACAACAACGGTGTAAATGGAAAGTACAATAGCAACAAAATAATTCAATCTGAATGTTGTGAAATTATAATAATCTAGCTTGGCCCTAAAGAAGAATATGAAAAAGACATCCTCTGGCTCCTTTGAGAAGGTGGGGGTGCACTGGTAGGAAACACAGCATATACTGTCAGACATTTTCAATGTGTTGAATGATTCTGCTGAATCTTTTTTCATTTCTTCCCTCCTTTTTTTTAATGCTTAGTTGGATTTTGGGGGGGGGGTTGTTTTTGTTTTTGTTTTTTGGCAAAGCAGTTGGGGTTAAGTGACTTGCTCAAGGTCACACAGCTAGTAAATATCAAGTGTCTGAGGTCAGATTGGAACTCAGGTCCTCCTGACTCCAGAGCCAGTGCTCTAT